TAAAACATTTCAATGAAAAATGTGCTGACTATTTTTTAACATTTTGTTCCTTGTTTCATATTTTAGAAAAACCTAACACCAAATTCTTTCATTGTCTTCAAATTTGGTAAGTTTCATAAAACTTATATAAAAGTCATAATTTTAATTATCTTTTTTTCATTGCATAAATTTATTTGTTTTGTTGTTTGTTTCTTTTGTTTCTTTAAAATAAATATTATCATTTATTTCCTATTTCAAATGTTTCATATAGTAAATACTGGTTTATTTTATAATCTGATTGAAATATTTTGAACAGATGGACCTGTAACAACAGCAAGACCATTACCAGTGGAGGTACAGAGAACTCAAAGTCAGTAAAATTTTAAAATATCTCTTTCCTTACAATTTGGTACATTCCCTATAATATTTTCATTAACTTTGAATTCAATGAACTTTAAAAATGTATCAGTTTATAAAGCTGGTTTATTTTCTCTTCTTTTTTTCTTTTTTTTGTCTTTTGTAGTGTTAGAAACTGTTTGTTTTTTTAACATGCACTTTACTGTGTTCACAATGATAATAACATTTGATTCAACAACTGTTGTTTTTTTCAAACTATTTCCTAAATCTTACAAAAGTAGTGAGGTAATATTGCTATTTCCCTTCACGTCAAATATTTAAAAATGAGAAACTTATGTAAACTTATGAGTTTTGTTTGTTTTTTTCTTGTAGATCAAACTGGTGGAGATGTCTATGTAGTACCAGCAATTGATGAGAACAAGAAAGATGTAACATATGTCATAATAAAACCTGAGAATATTAACAATGTAAACCTTCCTGAAGGGGCAACTATTTATGAAAAAACGGTAAAGATTTGTCCTGAGTTTAAAATTTCACAGAGTTCCAATGAAAAAGTTTGTTTAAAACAAGTCCTTTCTTAACGATGTTGTTCTTAGCTTTTAAAAACATGTTTTAAATGATTCTGATGCAAATTTAAGACATTAATGTGTGTTATATCAAATATAAGAAAAAATAACCAGATCAGCATGCATCATTGAGTTTATATTTCGTGTAAAATAAAACTTTTTTTTTTTTTAAATATTAACAGCCTCTTAATTCTGGTGAGGACTTGAACCCAAGACAAGGACCTTTGTTTGTTTTGACAAATCCTGATGTTAAAGTGATAGTTCAGGTCTGCGCAGGTAAACAAAACAACTCACTTAAGTTAAAATGATTATGAATTTGTGTAACTATTATGTATTTAAAAAATGGAAAATTTGGAACTGGTGTAAAATAATTCTCAATGACAAAAAATCAATATTTAAATTCCTTTATAGGAACACCAGCATCACCAAGCACACCAGCTTCTCCAAGCACACCTGGATCACCCAGCACATCTGAGTCTCCAAGTTCTCCTGGTTCTCCAAGCACACCTGAGTCACCAAGTACTCCAGGATCACCAAGCACACCTGAGTCACCTAGTACTCCAGGATCACCAAGCACACCTGAGTCACCAAGTACTCCAGGATCACCAAGCACACCTGAGTCACCAAGTACTCCAGGATCACCAAGCACACCTGAGTCACCAAGTACTCCAGGATCACCAAGCACACCTGAGTCACCAAGTACTCCAGGATCACCAAGCACACCTGAGTCACCAAGTACTCCAGGATCACCAAGCACACCTGAGTCACCAAGTACTCCAGGATCACCAAGCACACCTGAGTCACCAAGTACTCCAGGATCACCAAGCACACCTGAGTCACCAAGTACTCCAGGATCACCAAGCACACCTGAGTCACCAAGTACTCCAGGATCACCAAGCACACCTGAGTCACCAAGTACTCCTGGTTCCCCAAGCACACCAGAGTCACCAAGTACTCCAGGGTCACCCAGCACACCTGAGTCACCAAGTACTCCAGGATCACCAAGTACACCATGTCAGCTTGTAATGCTGCCTGATACAAATGATAACAAAGTATCACTTATACAAACCAGCTCTGCAAGTAGAAATGCTCCTCCAGAAACCATTACTCTTGCAAATCCAAAAGGTGAAGATGTGAAACGTGTCACTGTTTCAGAAGGCAAATCATATATTTTGGAGCCAACAGATCAGGTACTTTGTAAAAACTTACTTTTTTAACATTGCAACATATTTTAAGTTCATAATAATTTGTAACAAATTATTAAATAATATAGTTGCATTGCAATTTAATGACATAATTCTTGTCTTAAAAGTTAAAACATTTCAATGAAAAATGTGCTGACTATTTTTTAACATTTTGTTCCTTGTTTCATATTTTAGAAAAACCTAACACCAAATTCTTTCATTGTCTTCAAATTTGGTAAGTTTCATAAAACTTATATAAAAGTCATAATTTTAATATCTTTTTTTCATTGCATAAATTTATTTGTTTTGTTGTTTGTTTCTTTTGTTTCTTTAAAATAAATATTATCATTTATTTCCTATTTCAAATGTTTCATATAGTAAATACTGGCTTATTTTATAATCTGATTGAAATATTTTGAACAGATGAACCTGTAACAACAGCAAGACCATTACCAGTGGAGGTACAGAGAACTCAAAGTCAGTAAAATTTTAAAATATCTCTTTCCTTACAATTTGGTACATTCCCTATAATATTTTCATTAACTTTGAATTCAATGAACTTTAAAAATGTATCAGTTTATAAAGCTGGTTTATTTTCTCTTCTTTTTTTCTTTTTTTTGTCTTTTGTAGTGTTAGAAACTGTTTGTTTTTTTAACATGCACTTTACTGTGTTCACAATGATAATAACATTTGATTCAACAACTGTTGTTTTTTTCAAACTATTTCCTAAATCTTACAAAAGTAGTGAGGTAATATTGCTATTTCCCTTCACGTCAAATATTTAAAAATGAGAAACTTATGTAAACTTATGAGTTTTGTTTGTTTTTTTCTTGTAGATCAAACTGGTGGAGATGTCTATGTAGTACCAGCAATTGATGAGAACAAGAAAGATGTAACATATGTCATAATAAAACCTGAGAATATTAACAATGTAAACCTTCCTGAAGGGGCAACTATTTATGAAAAAACGGTAAAGATTTGTCCTGAGTTTAAAATTTCACAGAGTTCCAATGAAAAAGTTTGTTTAAAACAAGTCCTTTCTTAACGATGTTGTTCTTAGCTTTTAAAAACATGTTTTAAATGATTCTGATGCAAACTTAAGACATTAATGTGTGTTATATCAAATATAAGAAAAAATAACCAGATCAGCATGCATCATTGAGTTTATATTTCGTGTAAAATAAAACATTTTTTTAAAAAAATATTAACAGCCTCTTAATTCTGGCGAGGACTTGAACCCAAGCCAAGGACCTTTGTTTGTTTTGACAAATCCTGATGTTAAAGTGATAGTTCAGGTCTGCGCAGGTAAACAAAACAACTCACTTAAGTTAAAATGATTATGAATTTGTGTAACTATTATGTATTTAAAAAATGGAAAATTTGGAACTGGTGTAAAATAATTCTCAATGACAAAAAATCAATATTTAAATTCCTTTATAGGAACACCAGCATCACCAAGCACACCAGCTTCTCCAAGCACACCTGGATCACCCAGCACACCTGAGTCTCCAAGTTCTCCTGGTTCTCCAAGCACACCTGAGTCACCAAGTACTCCAGGATCACCAAGCACACCTGAGTCACCTAGTACTCCAGGATCACCAAGCACTCCTGGATCACCCAGCACACCGGAGTCTCCAAGTACTCCAGGATCAACAAGCACACCTGAGTCACCCAGCACACCTGGATCACCCAGCACACCTGAGTCACCAAGTACTCCAGGATCACCAAGCACACCTGAGTCACCAAGTACTCCAGGATCACCAAGCACACCTGAGTCTCCAAGTACTCCAGGATCACCAAGCACACCCGAGTCTCCAAGTACTCCTGGATCACCAAGCACACCTGAGTCACCAAGTACTCCAGGATCACCAAGCACACCTGAGTCTCCAAGTACTCCAGGATCACCAAGCACGCCTGAGTCACCCAGCACACCTGGATCACCCAGCACACCTGAGTCACCAAGTACTCCAGGATCACCAAGCACACCTGAGTCACCAAGTACTCCAGGATCACCAAGCACACCTGAGTCACCCAGTACTCCAGGATCACCAAGCACACCTGAGTCACCTAGTACTCCAGCATCACCAAGCACACCTGAGTCACCAAGTACTCCAGCATCACCAAGCACACCTGAGTCACCAAGTACTCCAGGATCACCAAGCACACCTGAGTCACCAAGTACTCCAGGATCACCAAGCACACCTGAGTCACCAAGTACTCCAGGATCACCAAGCACACCTGAGTCACCAAGTACTCCAGGATCACCAAGCACACCTGAGTCACCAAGTACTCCAGGATCACCAAGCACACCTGAGTCACCAAGTACTCCAGGATCACCAAGCACACCTGAGTCACCAAGTACTCCAGGATCACCAAGCACACCTGAGTCACCAAGTACTCCAGGATCACCAAGCACACCTGAGTCACCAAGTACTCCAGGATCACCAAGCACACCTGAGTCACCAAGTACTCCAGGATCACCAAGCACACCTGAGTCACCAAGTACTCCAGGATCACCAAGCACACCTGAGTCACCAAGTACTCCAGGATCACCAAGCACACCTGAGTCACCAAGTACTCCAGGATCACCAAGCACACCTGAGTCACCAAGTACTCCAGGATCACCAAGCACACCTGAGTCACCAAGTACTCCAGGATCACCAAGCACACCTGAGTCACCAAGTACTCCAGGATCACCAAGCACACCTGAGTCACCAAGTACTCCAGGATCACCAAGCACACCTGAGTCACCAAGTACTCCAGGATCACCAAGCACACCTGAGTCACCAAGTACTCCAGGATCACCAAGCACACCTGAGTCACCAAGTACTCCAGGATCACCAAGCACACCTGAGTCACCAAGTACTCCAGGATCACCAAGCACACCTGAGTCACCAAGTACTCCAGGATCACCAAGCACACCTGAGTCACCAAGTACTCCAGGATCACCAAGCACACCTGAGTCACCAAGTACTCCAGGATCACCAAGCACACCTGAGTCACCAAGTACTCCAGGATCACCAAGCACACCTGAGTCACCAAGTACTCCAGGATCACCAAGCACACCTGAGTCACCAAGTACTCCAGGATCACCAAGCACACCTGAGTCACCAAGTACTCCAGGATCACCAAGCACACCTGAGTCACCAAGTACTCCAGGATCACCAAGCACACCTGAGTCACCAAGTACTCCAGGATCACCAAGCACACCTGAGTCACCAAGTACTCCAGGATCACCAAGCACACCTGAGTCACCAAGTACTCCAGGATCACCAAGCACACCTGAGTCACCAAGTACTCCAGGATCACCAAGCACACCTGAGTCACCAAGTACTCCAGGATCACCAAGCACACCTGAGTCACCAAGTACTCCAGGATCACCAAGCACACCTGAGTCACCAAGTACTCCAGGATCACCAAGCACACCTGAGTCACCAAGTACTCCAGGATCACCAAGCACACCTGAGTCACCAAGTACTCCAGGATCACCAAGCACACCTGAGTCACCAAGTACTCCAGGATCACCAAGCACACCTGAGTCACCAAGTACTCCAGGATCACCAAGCACACCTGAGTCACCAAGTACTCCAGGATCACCAAGCACACCTGAGTCACCAAGTACTCCAGGATCACCAAGCACACCTGAGTCACCAAGTACTCCAGGATCACCAAGCACACCTGAGTCACCAAGTACTCCAGGATCACCAAGCACACCTGAGTCACCAAGTACTCCAGGATCACCAAGCACACCTGAGTCACCAAGTACTCCAGGATCACCAAGCACACCTGAGTCACCAAGTACTCCAGGATCACCAAGCACACCTGAGTCACCAAGTACTCCAGGATCACCAAGCACACCTGAGTCACCAAGTACTCCAGGATCACCAAGCACACCTGAGTCACCAAGTACTCCAGGATCACCAAGCACACCTGAGTCACCAAGTACTCCAGGATCACCAAGCACACCTGAGTCACCAAGTACTCCAGGATCACCAAGCACACCTGAGTCACCAAGTACTCCAGGATCACCAAGCACACCTGAGTCACCAAGTACTCCAGGATCACCAAGCACACCTGAGTCACCAAGTACTCCAGGATCACCAAGCACACCTGAGTCACCAAGTACTCCAGGATCACCAAGCACACCTGAGTCACCAAGTACTCCAGGATCACCAAGCACACCTGAGTCACCAAGTACTCCAGGATCACCAAGCACACCTGAGTCACCAAGTACTCCAGGATCACCAAGCACACCTGAGTCACCAAGTACTCCAGGATCACCAAGCACACCTGAGTCACCAAGTACTCCAGGATCACCAAGCACACCTGAGTCACCAAGTACTCCAGGATCACCAAGCACACCTGAGTCACCAAGTACTCCAGGATCACCAAGCACACCTGAGTCACCAAGTACTCCAGGATCACCAAGCACACCTGAGTCACCAAGTACTCCAGGATCACCAAGCACACCTGAGTCACCAAGTACTCCAGGATCACCAAGCACACCTGAGTCACCAAGTACTCCAGGATCACCAAGCACACCTGAGTCACCAAGTACTCCAGGATCACCAAGCACACCTGAGTCACCAAGTACTCCAGGATCACCAAGCACACCTGAGTCACCAAGTACTCCAGGATCACCAAGCACACCTGAGTCACCAAGTACTCCAGGATCACCAAGCACACCTGAGTCACCAAGTACTCCAGGATCACCAAGCACACCTGAGTCACCAAGTACTCCAGGATCACCAAGCACACCTGAGTCACCAAGTACTCCAGGATCACCAAGCACACCTGAGTCACCAAGTACTCCAGGATCACCAAGCACACCTGAGTCACCAAGTACTCCAGGATCACCAAGCACACCTGAGTCACCAAGTACTCCAGGATCACCAAGCACACCTGAGTCACCAAGTACTCCAGGATCACCAAGCACACCTGAGTCACCAAGTACTCCAGGATCACCAAGCACACCTGAGTCACCAAGTACTCCAGGATCACCAAGCACACCTGAGTCACCAAGTACTCCAGGATCACCAAGCACACCTGAGTCACCAAGTACTCCAGGATCACCAAGCACACCTGAGTCACCAAGTACTCCAGGATCACCAAGCACACCTGAGTCACCAAGTACTCCAGGATCACCAAGCACACCTGAGTCACCAAGTACTCCAGGATCACCAAGCACACCTGAGTCACCAAGTACTCCAGGATCACCAAGCACACCTGAGTCACCAAGTACTCCAGGATCACCAAGCACACCTGAGTCACCAAGTACTCCAGGATCACCAAGCACACCTGAGTCACCAAGTACTCCAGGATCACCAAGCACACCTGAGTCTCCAAGTACTCCTGAATCACCAAGCACACCTGAGTCACCAAGTACTCCAGGATCACCAAGCACACCTGGATCACCAAGCACGCCTGAGTCACCAAGTACTCCAGGATCACCAAGCACACCTGAGTCACCAAGTACTCCAGGATCTCCAAGCACTCCTGGATCACCCAGCACACCTGAGTCACCAAGTACTCCTGGATCACCAAGCACACCTGAGTCACCAAGTACTCCAGGATCACCAAGCACACCCGAGTCACCCAGTACTCCAGGATCACCAAGCACACCTGAGTCACCAAGTACTCCAGGATCACCAAGCACACCTGAGTCACCCAGTACTCCAGGATCACCAAGCACACCTGAGTCTCCAAGTACTCCGGGATCACCCAGCACACCTGAGTCACCAAGTACTCCAGGATCACCAAGCACACCTGAGTCTCCAAGAACTCCAGGATCACCAAGCACACCTGAGTCACCTAGTAGTCCAGGATCACCAAGCACACCCGAGTCTCCCAGCACACCTGAGTCACCAAGTACCCCAGAATCACCAAGCACTACAGTTTCTGAAGGTCTGTTTTTATTAGTTTTTTAGTTTACAAACTTTGTTAGGAAATAAATCAGTTATTTTGGGAATATATCTCCCTATATAAAATTTTAGTATATACTTAATTGATTATTCTTTTTTTTTCTTCTTGATTATAGAAAAACGCATTTATTCTTCATCTTTTTTTATCATTAAGGGATTTTCTTCAGTTATTATACATTTTTATTGTTTTTTTTTCATTTTTTTAAACGTTTTATGAAATATTTTTTACTTTAGGTTGCAGTGACCTTATTGAAATGACTGAAGCTGATTTATCTAGCCTTCCAATTAGTTTCCAAACGTACCCATCTGTTAATGGAGGTATATTTGACTTTGCTGTATTAAACAATGCGGGCAAGGTGATCATCACAGTCTATGTACCATTGGGTTGTACGTTATCCATTATGGAAATGAAGGGATCCTATGAGAAATACCAAGTAACTGAAATCGACAAGAATGAAAATTGCTTTAGTTCTTATATAAGATATTTCATTAAATGAAGGTTTTTGTTGACTGGTCAGTACATCTATTCAGTAAGGTAAGTTATAAAATAAACAAATTTAAACAGTTGTACTTGCTTTAATTTGAATCTTCCAACAATCTGCAAAGAATTCAATGTACAATTTTTCCTCAATTAATTTTAATGTTTTTATATATTTCATTGCTACAGAACACTGAAGGACTTGATGTCTTTACAGCTGAATCAAATCCTAGAAATGTCTTCAACGCTGATATTAAGGAG